CGGTGTCCATCCTCTGATGTCGGAAAAGATTCGAGCGGGGGCTGAAGCTCTTCCCGCACTCGGGACACTGGAAGGGTTTCTCCCCCGTGTGCGTCCGCCGGTGGACGATGATGTCCGAGCTGCGGGTGAACCTCTTCCCGCACTCCAAGCATTTGTAGGGCTTCTCTCCCGTGTGCACCGTCTCGTGCCGGATGAGGGTGGACCTGTCCTTGAAGCACTTCTCGCACGTCGAGCACTGGTAGAGCTTCTCCTCCACGTGGACCCTCTGGTGGAGGTTGAGCTCCGAGCTCTGCCCAAACTCCTCCCCGCACTCGTAGCACTTGTAACGCCGCTCTCCCACGTGCCGCCGCTGGTGCTGGAGGAACTTGGATTTGTCCCTGAAGCGTTTCCCGCACTCGGGACACTGGCAGAGGTGTTCTCCCGCGTGCGCCTTCTCATGGACGAGAAGCCTCGAGCGGTGAATGAAGCTTTTCCCGCACTGCGGGCATTTAAAAGGTTTTTCCCCGACGTGGACCCTCTTGTGCCTGATGAGCAGTGACCTGTCCGGGAAGCACTTCTGGCACTTGGGGCACTTGTAGAGCTTTTCGCCCGCATGAGTCTTTTGGTGGACGATGAGGTTTGAGCTCTGCCTGAAGCACTTCCCGCATTCGTGGCATTTATATGGTTTCTCCCCGGTGTGGATCCGCTGATGCACGATCAGGTTGGAGCTCTGGCCAAAGCTTCTTCCGCACTCGTTGCACGTGTACTTCTTTTCCCCGGCAGCTATTCTGCACTGGGCTTTGGATTCTTTGAGGACCTTTTGGTTTCCTCCGTGGGGGATGAGTTCATCCCTTCCCGGCCCCGTCTCGCTCTCGGGAGCTGCTTCCCACCGGGGGCTCTCCAAAACGGCTCCTTCCCGTTTCACCGCTGCGACTCCGTGCCCTCCCCCTCGCTCAGCGCTTTCTCGCGTCAGGTTGGGCTCTTCCTTCGCTCTTCTGGCGGCGCATCCTGCGGCGGGTTGCAAACAAGAGCGGCGTCTTACTTCTCGAAGGGAAACCGCGTCGCGCCGGGGGACGGCGAATAAAAGCACGAGCCGGGGGACG